GGCACAGCACTGAATGGTCTGATGTTATTGAAGTTTGTGGTTCCAGCTGGAAAGTCTTCCAATGTTAAGGTTAATGCGTAAGTGCCCGATGCTCCATATCCACCTTCGTAAGTTAAGATGCAGTTTTTCTGCGAAGCAAAGTATGGAACAACCATTTAATAGATACGTGAGGTATATAGATGTTTTTCTTAACACATTTTGACGCAATCTGAACAATCGCAATCTTGAACAGACGCACGGCAACATAGAATCTATTTGTTTTATACAGTAAAAAAGTAATGGTGACTTCATCTATGCGTCTTACCTCCGATAGATCATGAGTGAGAGCCAATAAAACTGCACATAGAGTTCAACTTATTATGTAAAATCGTTAACAGTTTAACTAAGCAAATTCCGAGAAACACTGAAACGTACGCGTTGGTTTGCTACCGATAATGTATTCACACCAGTTCTGAACATAAAGTTTGCGTTTTCCGGCAAAATTGAGGTACAATTTAGTACAAAATTACGGCAGGTTCTTTCATTTTGTATACCCCTTTTCTTTTTTAAATTTTGTTGTAATTTCTGTAGGGTTTCTGAGAACCACTCAATTTACTCGATCGTTGTTTTACTTAGAAAGCTCTCTGGAGCTATTCTGAGAGACGCTGAGTGCTGTGGTCGATTTCGCATACTTCTTTATGGGTCTGCTAAGAATTACCGACTTGATCCCAAAATAAGACTAAATTTGCTTTTCAACTAAGAAACTTTATCCGCGTTGATTTGTAGAGGAAGTCCGAAGGATTTTGTTCTTCAACGGTCAATAGCTTAAGTTTTGTACTTAGAGATTGAGAAAAATTGCATTGATAGAGCGTACAAAGTTACCTCATCAAGTTTACCGTAAGGGAAACTATCACTTGGTATGGAGGACTCGGCGCTGGTTGCCCAACGGCATTTCACAAAATCGTTATCTGGATCTTCAACTGGGATTGTAAGAGACTTTTGACAGCCCTGTTGAAATCGTACAATAGCTGGGCTCCTGGAGACTGGAGATGAGTTGATTTTACCGTTATCAGATCGTTTAGAGAGACTTATATTGGTAGATACCAACCAGGCTGAGTTAGCATATCGCACAAGATTGGAAATCCAACAGCAACTGTAATATCTGTCGACGAGACGTGAAAGAAAGGTTTGTGGAAAAACGGAGACTGTAGATATGGGAGGACAGGCCACCACACCGAAGAAATTGAAGATGAGAAAGCCTTATACACTAGTTAGCGCACATGCCAAAAAGGTTAACAGGAATGGAAGGAATAAAGAGTAATGGAGTGACTGAGTGATGGATGGAAGGAGTGAATTTTGGGTCATTACAACAACTCAGAGATATTTTTCAGCCATTTTCTGAGTTAAAAAGAGGATACATGGAAGACCACCCCAATGTTGAAGGATAATTTTGGTCATTGCAAACGGCTCTTAATTGTCCGAAACTTTCTGCTGCATTAAAAAACTGAAGCATTCTTAAAAAGTCAGTTTTCACGTGTTTCTTTTTCTCTTAATTCACATTTTGACACACCTCACATTCCACTCCAGAATGCCAGACGGAAAAATGTAGGTGAAATTATTTTCCCCCATGGACCAGTCTTCATCGCGACTAAAGTCAGTACAGCGAAAGCCAGCTCGCGCAATATAATTGGTCCATGAACACACTGCACTGGAAGGATCGCTGCACTTAGCTGTCCAAGAACCTCCAGATCCGATAATTTTCCCTACGTTAGTTATATTCGTATCACAAAGAGATGACCTTCGAAAAGCCAGACGATAGGTAAACCGTATCTGGAATATAAATAGAAAGATATCATGAAAAATGCTAGGATTTCAAAATAAGTTTCGGTTATCTCTAAGACCTCTTCGTAATGAGTGCAATTAAATTCGATATAAATAAAAACTAGGAATAAAATTCTCTAACGTGATTGATAATCGTCCGCGCGATTTGAGCGCTTATAGGACGGTGCTTGTAATTGGACAGCGTAAAACACGACACGCCATGCCTGTGTAAGTGGACAGTACGCGTCTTGTGCGAGCGCCGTTGTCGTGCATTTCGTCAAGTAGCTATTGCATTTTAATGAAAACGTATGACCGATGTCTAGTTTCTTTCTCAAATTTCGTCCTGTGATTAAAAAATTACTCCTACGGTTAAAGAGCGAATTAGACTCCAATCAGTCATATTACCATTATTAATCACGCATGAGCAGAGAGCCATTTTACGCTGGCGATATTTCTTTATGGCTTTATCAGTTAGGTGGTCAGAACCCATCGTCAGGTACAAAAAAGAAAAAAAAGTGATATCGGTGGAACCTAACACCTAAAGAAAAATAAAAAACAGTATTTCCCTTGTGTAGCCTTGTCTACCAGACATTTTAACTGCCCTTGCACCCGTGGGTAGCTGAGCTGCGCAAAATCCCTCCATAGTCATTGGAGACAACCTTGTATCTCCTTCTCTACGTCCTGGAGGTTTCTGCAGCCGTTAGTTGCTGTTCAACTTTTGTAAAGCGGGTATATAATTTTAACTCAAAAGCAATCGTTGCTAATTATTTTCTGAAAACGGAAAGTGTCAGTGAATTTGTGCCATCGATGCATTTTGATAAGTGGAGGGGGCGTTTTCATTCTTCAAATGCCTTCCGTTTAATAACTTTTCTCAAAAGACAGTTCTTCAATGTGCTTCATATATACACACATTTCAGTAACTAAACACAGTTGTCCTTGTCGTGGAAAGTTTGAAATCAATGCCTATGGTAAAAAGAGGTCAACCGCTAAGACGGAAAAACTGGAAAGTCAACCAAATTGGGTAGATGTAGTTTAGAAAGCTTAAAGCGCCTGGAGGTAAATTATGAATATGACGCTAATACGTCAAATGAATAAACAATTACAAAAACCGCAGTCTTTCCAAGAAATGGCCACAGTTGGTTGTATCAAGGAAGATATAGAGTGATTCTTACTTGGTTGAGTATATCGTGCATAAAAAAGCAAAAAAGAAAAAAAATTACACAATTCAAGCAACTGCAATGAAAAAGAGCAGGATTAACTCCGTCTAGCTCAATGGCAGACGGCCGTTGAAAATTGAGCCAAATCATGGCTTGATGATAATTATCTTGCGTAGGCGTGTGGAGAAACTTATGAATATGAACGAACAACCAGTGGGAACGCCACTTTCCAAGAACTGGACACAGCTGGCTGAGCCAAAAGAAGAACGAACTCGATTTCATCTTGGCCAAGAATCTCTTCAACGTGAAAAAAAAATCAAAGTAGGAATAGAAAAATATACAGTTTAAATCTCAATAACATGCTGCTCCTTACTCGCTAAGAGATTTTAAAGTTTACAAGTCACTGAATTGTGCCGCACTCTTCTAAAGAGGTGATTCAGCAGATGGACAAAAACCAATTAGGCAGTTATTGTTAAGGCTTGTTGCGCACACACACTCTAACAAAAAGAAAAAAAACAGGTAAGAAAAATAATTTTGATTGACACAGGCGTACAAAAGCGGTTTTTTCTTTCCAAGATACAGGTCTAAAAATATATGTGTATATGTTTACTGACTCACTGCAAGAGAGTAGATCACGGTAGTTCAGAAATATGTAGCATCCGTCTCAATTAAAAAAGCGCATCGAGAGCCGTAAAAAGACTGGAGGATAGCAAAATACAAACGTATATGCTAACTTTTTTCGGCATTCGTATGCCATTAAAACCAAATCACAAAATATAGCAATAGTGCAACATACTACTGATATTTATCAAAAAAGGAAAATACGCCCATTGAAGTCTGAATCAGTGCAGGAAGCAAATTTCCTTCAATACCAAGATACGTAAAGTCCAAACTCGTCTATCGATAACCTAGCCATGAAGTCCGATTTGTTAAATGTTCCGACCTGAGGCATGCCTTCTTCAACACGGAGGAGCCATGACTAGAAAGGTTATTACCGCCACATGGAGAAGAGGAATATGCTTTTCTGTAATGTGCTTTCCTTTTTAATGTGCCTTGACGCATAGTTTGGTCTCTTGAGAAACAAAAGTTTACAGTACTGTTTGGTGAAGTGTTTCAAGAGCTTTAAATTTGAAGGTCTTAATAGGTCTAAACAAGGCGACAGCCAGTCGTTCTAAGCAGTCTGTAAATGCTTCGGAGAAAACGTTCATTTGCAATTCTGCGTTTGCAATGTCTCATTTACAAACTGAAGAAAAAAAACCAGCCTTACACATATAAAGGCAAGTTCATCAAATTGAATTTCAACTTCTACCATCAAGGTTTTATATACGACATGCAAAAACGGTAGACAACAAATCTCTGAAATTAGCTCAGTAGCGTGCAATTAAGGACCATACCGTGTTGTTATCAGCATCAGTCGGAGCAAAGCTCATAAGGGCATGTCTGAAGTGAGACCCTTCTACTAAAAACGACCATTGTACGAACACAAGTAAGCAAAGAAGGCGCGTGAACGTATAACGCATCATCTTGGGTAGCCTTCCGTTCCGACTGACCCACTCCGGAAAAAAAAAAAGGAAATTTTTTATATAACAACTAAATCCATTTCACCAGGCACGCTAGGCATGAGCCTAAGTTAAATCATGTCGATTAAGATTACTCGGGCGTATCCAAGGTAATCAAAAGTCTCGAAGCTATTCAATACATCATTACCTTTTCTTGATAAAATAGGGATGCATTTGTTTATTCATTTAATGTTTTTTCATTTTGTTAAAGTATAGTAGTTTAAGGTACAAGCTAAGAAATCACTTATGAAACGTAGGCTTATCTAATTAATTCGGCACACTTTGAATGAGCTCAGTTACTTCGGCATGAAACCTCACAGGGGGTTGAGTAGATACCGAGCCGAATCATTTCTTTCATAACAACACATTATGTGGTTATACAGCTCATGTTTTACTTCTGTTCAAACATGAGTGAAGAGAAAGCTTATGATATATATATTTCCCAACCCAAGAGAATGCAATAAAGGTTGTTTGCCGCACATGCATAGTAATCACTTCTTTTTTCTCATGGCGTGGGCATTAATTACATGCTTAGTGCGTGAGAACATTGTCGCACCAGCTCGAAAATTCATATTAATTAGCTTCAGGAAGCACGTTTTAATTTCAGCTATGCATAACTCAAGAGTTTTGTGACTGTCATACTTCAGTCTTCAAATCCTAAAAAACATACGCTAACTTTTTCCCTCAAAATGTATATTTTTGGAATGCGAAGAACTAACTGCACCTGGTCTATACTGCAAGGCAATGTATCTACTTGAGACGAGCGCCTGCTGTGGTTAAACACTTTTATTAAGTCATGTCCAACGTCACGTCCAACGCTTTATCTAGCAGTGCAGAGCTCGATCGAGAAAACTAATGAAATCACTAGGTGTAAATCTAACCCATCAGACACTCCATACCTTAAAATTATTTTATAATGAGCTGTTTTTAATATCCCACTTTTGAAAAGGAAAAGACTTAAGATAAACTCGCCTAGTCAGGCAGTTGTAATGAGAAATGCAAATTGAGTGCTTTTTGATTTAATAAATTTCGACCTTGCCATGCAAAGTGACCTCAATCTGCGTTGTTTGCATTTTGACTGTTCATCCTCATATCTTCATATCAAGTCGTCATGATACATTAACATTTAAACTTGATACAACATTGAAGAGTAGTGCCTACCACTTTGCACATTTCCTTGGTTAATTTAGGAGAATTAGACTCTTTTTTGAAAACATCACATGTACCCAACGTACAATGCACAACATTCTTCAAAAGTTCATCTAAATTTATTTCACTTTTTTAGTCAAGTATTTCGTATTTCAGTATGCTTCAAGTTCAGTTGTATTGAAGCTACTTTCGCAGTGTAATCTTTTTTATGTGATTGAGGAAGCTGAAACTGATATAATCAATAATGCTTGAAAGTGGAGGTTACACGATCAGTGCTGCTAAGTTGTAGAGTGATCAGTACTGTATTCAGAGTACCCCACATCGAGTCTCGGAATGGACACAGCTGATTCGTCTTGACAAGCAGCATTCTTGAAGATGATTGATTTCCTTTGTGTTATTGATTCAGTGAGTATTTTTATAAACACCGAACAGCGTTCCAAACTTGACTTGTGACCTGATATTTCTCTAATTGTCTTGGAAACAAGACTTTATCACGAAACCTACTAAATGGTAATTGACTACTATTGCGTTGAAAGCGTCTTCATAAATATCGACAACCATGCACTCTCCCATGCAATCTAAACTTATTTTCAAGCCGAGTGCAGAGTCAGAGTAGCAAACAGAAATAGAAAACATGAAAACTACCTTTGCATTATTTATCAACCCAGTGATTTCATGGTTCTATTAATAATTCCGCTATTTCTAATTGACTCATTGAATTTATTTTTTTCTATGACCTTTTCAAATCTTTATTTTATTTCTCGAGCTTTCTGTAAATTCGACGCTAGTTTCGTACATGCAAACTTTGGGTTTCCTTCTTCTTCTTCTTTTCTCCTATCTTAGTATATTAGATTTTAGTTATTATAAAGGTTCTTTAAGATAATGGATACACATTGGTTGCCAAGAAAATCTGGTCTCGAATAAATGCTAAACATGCACTTCCGGGATAAAATGTCAATGATACGGTAACACTCATTTCTCTTCGTAAATGACGCCGATAAGAAAACAAAACGAACTCTGTGTACTAAACCTTCCTTCACATTAGAAATTTGGCGCAAATTGATTAGTGTTGTCACAAATCAAAACTTGGTAATGACGTATAGTCAGAAATATTCTATCGGCTTCTGACTTGAGTAGCAGTGTATGAACTAAGAGTTTTGACTCTCGGCATCCCTCTCCACTATGTCATCGTCTTGGGTGGTGTCATTGTACATGTCTCTGACCTTGTTTTTGTTTGTCATGAGCCGTAAAATGCGATATTTGACAAAAACAGCAGCCAGAGCTATGACTCCAACCAGACCAACTCCGCCAGCGGCTGTCGCGCCTCCGATTACAGCTGCTGATTGTTTCCCTGTGTCTATAAAAACGAAAAAAAATAGAGTTGTAAACAAATTTGCTTAATGTGTTAAGATATCACGTCCACAGGCTATGACAATGAATGACTTTTATGCTTTTTTTATGCTTACCACTGATGGTCTTGCGAGGAGTACAGACTTCCAAGTGTATTCGTACAATTAAAATAGAATATAACCCTTAATTTCTCAGCCTCTGAGAAACCTGCAATCTAATTAGTATTTCATAACCACTTAGGTATGATTTATTTTACAACTTCCTTTGGATAATAATGTTGTTGTCAAACTCAATACTTTCGCACTTATCGAATTTTTAAGTATCTCCTTAAGTTTGTAAATCTTTGTATTAGGACTGCCTTTTACTTCGTGACGTGGAGAACATTTCCATACTCTTGTCCATATACAAATCCTTTTTTTTTAGTTCTATTTAACTTGGTACATGAAAGTGAGTCACCTCCATTTTCGTTTTGGCTTTTCCCTCGGACGATTTTGATTGGCCCTCTTTTGATGATGTATGGACCGGCTGTGTCCTCTTCCAGTCCTCGTTTCTTCCTATTAGCTGACGGTACGCATCCCTGTTGGCACCTTCAAGTCATCAAATTACGAATATTTATTTCATTGCACTGTTATCATTGAGATTTAAAACTGGGTAATGCGCATACATCTTTAATAAAAATCTTAAATTGTCTTAAAAAAGCAAAATATTATCATCTTGTTCCAAAACCTCCTCAACATGAAAGGAGCTTATTCCGGTTGACTTTGGACTTTGGTTTTGAAATACTTTTCCTGTGCATAATCGACCGCAGTTGAACTTACCTAGATGATATAGACTCCTCAAGACAGGCTAACAGTTCACAGTGGATATAAAACGAGTCATAGTCATTGAAGAACCTGAATGCTCTCAGTGCAAATGTTTGCCAATTTCTGCTGGAGTTGTAGTCGTGACTCAGTGTCGTGTCCATTGCACACCTTTTGATACGAAAACAAAATTGCGTTAGCCACGAAAAACAAAATTGTTTTGGCAAAATGATGAAATTATCTTATTTTGATCATATTATGCTAAGAAATTAATTAAATTAATATTGATGCCGTTTACGTTCGAAGAGCTAGCAAGGCTAAAAGTTTAAAAAATAAATAATTAGGTAACTCCTTAACATGACACATACCCATCTTGTATAATGGGATATTGCGGTGAAGAATAATAAACTGAACTTTTCGTAGCCAAACAGTTAAGAGCCATCACCCCAAGGTTAGCACTGGACTCCACCCTGTACCCCAGATAGATATATTCATTGAGTGTCACCTCGACGGGGTAAGCGGAGTGGGGCGTTGAATAGGAAGAACTTGTGTAGACATCGAATGTAAAGTTGAAGTCACCGAATCCCTCTGAAATGATATTTTATTGTCAAACAGATAAGTCATTTGCATTAGTTTACCCAGAGATGATTAAATTTCTAGCAGACAATATGGAAGTATCTGTCTGTCGAGTCATATTCAAGTACTACATTCCCCGTCTTTTTACCAAGGGAAACGAAACTCTGACATGTAAAAAGCGATCAAGGTAAAGCGTACTACTTTCCTAGGATGCTTAATGATTACAAGCGCAGTAAAACTGATCATTTGAAATCGACTCTGAAATGCTAGAAGTAGTGATTAAGCCACAGAATCAACAGAATTGCATGGTGATGAACTGTTAATTGGTGACGCATCTACGTACCTACACCGGGAACATCAAGCCTTCCCTCGGGGACAAATTGCAGGCTGAGAAACTTCGTTTTGGAATAGCTGCAATTAAACGAGAATTCAAAATCATGTTCCCGTGTAATCTGGCCGTTCACTAGCTCGGCATCTTTGTGAACAACATTGGAGAACACGATGGTGTCTCCAGTTTCGTAGAATTTTGTGCCACATTCATTTAGGGCTGTGCTTATGGAAATAAACTGTGGGCTGTCAGAGGCTGAACACGCAGGGGCATCCAAGGACATATTCCTCGCTTCAAGTGTGGTGAATATTCTCTTCTCAAATGTGACTTCCATCTCATGGGCACGGCATGTAACAGTTACGCCAGGTTCTACAGTGATGTTCAAGAAAAGTAAAATTAGGAATTTAGGCCCAAATGAATATAAATTTAGACGAATTGACATCGCGTGCGCTTTGTATTCACTTGCTAGTTGGCGCAAGTACCTTTGCTTCCGCCCTGTACCATGCTTTTTTGTATACAAGAAAGGAAAAGGACAGCCAAGATCCTGGATGCCATTTTACATTCCAAACTTTCGTTGATTATCACACCAAGATGTATCAAGTTTAAACTGAACTGCCTAACAATCTATCAATTGCCCTACTTTGGAAACTTTCGAGGAATGTAATTAAGTTCTGGTGCCTTTCACAATAAAAATAGTTAGCGCGCCACTGAAAACTAATTACTCATTAAATTTTAAAGTTGATTTTTTAAGTACTGGATTAAAAACAGCTATTATTCCTGCCTACTGAACTATGCCTCTATGTGGCACCATATGGATAGAAGGGTAGCCATGTTTTTTAATGGGCTGTCGACTCAGCCATGCTCTCAGTTTACAGTTTTCGGTCACATGCTAGGACACATGCTGTTTTTATTACAGAACAAAACGCCTCACTTTGTACAAGGTTGCTTTTGAGAAATAAGGGAAAGAAGGTGACAGGCCCTCAGGCGATTTCGCGTATAAGCCATTTCCACTGCGTTTTCTTCTCAAACTGAAAGCAAAATAATGTTAACCTTGCAGCATCTTCATGGACTTTACCATCTGGCATTATTTGTTGTAATAGAGGCCATTGTTAAAGCAATTATTACGGAACAGGAAATTGCTGGCTTCCAGTCGAGTGAGTATGCCAACGCGGCATAATAACCGGGAACCTTTCTAGGAAACAAGTCTTTCTGAGTAATCGAATAAATTAAGGAAAAAGGAATACAGCAAGCCATGCATATGACAATTTTTAGAGGTCACTGCTTTTGTGAGAGAATGTCAACATAGGTATTTCGCCCAGTATGTTACCATCTCGTATTAGCTTCTTCAATGATGTCTCCATTTTATAGGGTAAATGATGTTAATCTTATTCCATCTTCAAAAATCTTACCTTCTCTAAGTACTCTATATCGCCATCAAGTCTAATACGCGGCGTTAATTATTCAGCACATCACATTTTTAACTAAGCAAACAGAATGAACCAGAAAATGCGGAGACCATGCTGTGCAAGCACGCCAATGCAGACTTCACATAACCAGGTCACCTTTCGCTGTCGATAGACTCATCACACTATCAACATGCTCAGCCCCGTTGGCGCAAAGTAACCTTTTAAACGAGACTATTTTCTCTTTTGCTTTTCATCTATAAAATAGCCTACGCGTAGCCGTACCCTCCCACCCCCCCGCTAGGTGTTACGAAAGCGAGGGAACGCCTACGAAAACCTGAATCAGTCTAATCGTGTTCTGTGACTTCACTCAATCAGCATCGCGCTTACGAAACTAGATTTCAACGTCCACGCGGTTTCTGCTTGCATTTGTAAACAGTGCCACGGTCGTCGAAAAAAGTTGGATCATTTGCCGCAGAATCTCAAGGTTTTTACAGATTTCTTTAAGAGATAGTTACGCTGCAAGCGTGAAGAAAGAGCGACTTGAAAGAATCGCTGCAATAAACAACTAGCTTTACTTTAATAGCATAGCAGCACCGTTCGCAAAGAGACTGAAAGTTGAAGCGGCAGACAATCCACTTGGCCAAGTCCATTAAGATAGTGCTCCTGGCCTTTTACGAGAGCTTTAACCGGCAGCACAATAAATATATGACCCTCCACGGGATTTCAGGGACTAAGGTGAAAGCATGCGCACGGCACGCTCGCACGTTTGCACGCCAAAACAAAAGAACTAGCTTTTAACACGCTAGTTGCGTGTCAGTTACTTACCTCAACTTCGCAACCATTGTCTTGCCGGTAGAAACAAAGAAACACGTTAAGATATTGCTTGAACTTTGCACGATATAACACAGTGACCGTGCCAATTTTATAACATGCCTCTTAAAGTTAAAGTTTCTTTCGATTTGTACGAGAAGTACATCCTACGCTGTAAGGCTTTTTAGTTCACCGATACGCCTTGCCGATACGATATTCCATATCCAGTGCAACTTCGGACGCTACATTGCCAAACATAAAGGAATATCCCGACTTGCTATCAATCATTTAAAACTGTATTTTAGTTTTTTCCGTCATTTTCGAATTTCTCATTTTCTCAAAACAGCTTGCCAAACACGGGCCGAACGAGCAAAGTCCTCTGCGCTTGAAATCGTTCATGAACTTTTGAAGGTAGCTAGCACAACCTTTTTAAAATAATAAGAGCGAACCTGTATGATGCAAAGTAAATGGCTACTTCGTTGAGGGTAAACTGTGTTCTCATCGTGTTTGTCTGCTCGCTAGTCTCCGAGGCATTATCTATCTGTATTGTTAAACTTGTTAGTCCGTGTAATGCAATGGTAGCGTTTGCACTCTCTGAATCGGCGGTGCGGGGTCCGATTCCTGCACACCACGGGAACCTTATCTTTTTTTTTCTATTTGACCGAGTTTATAAAATAATTAAATATCTGATATAATTTTTTTATCTATTAACTGACAGTCTATTTGCCAAACTTAAAGCGTTATAGATGCTTTTGACCATCGTCAGCTAACCTGTTTGTAAAAGCATCATTTTGGGTAGATAAATGATTTTCTAGTCTGCGATTTATGCCTTCTTTATTCTCTTCATAATTAGCGATGTTTATTTGCTAAGATTAGCCAAAATCAAAATAACTTACAACACGGTTTTGTTGACAATGGCCAGACTCTTTTCAATTAACCGACACAATGTTTTTTAACGGGAAATGATACACTAATTGTGCCATTTCAGTGTTTTCAAAACATGCCGATTTGCACAGAGTGACGAACAGCGACCGCCTCGGGTCGCAAATCTTTTGGTGAAGGATTCACAAAGATTCGGTACTAGGCTTATTAACTACGTGAAGCGATAAGGACTTAAATTTTCCAAGGTAATATTTAGCTTTTAAAAAGGTAATTCACGTGTTCAAACTGGGCTCCTCTAGACCTTGTGAAACACGTCGTGCTCACTGAATTCCTTGTGAAGATCTTGAGGGAAAGGGCCGTGATTTGCCGTGGACGTTTCCTTTTTTATAACAACTTTAGAAAAGAAAAGAAGATCTTATTCATTTTCGCTTATACTCTGTAAGTAATATACTTTACAAACACCATTCTCACAATTAAGAAGCTGACAAACACAAGTAACATAGTAAGCTGGGTTGTACAAGATAAGCTAGCGTGTTAAGGAAACAAATGAACTTAGCGTGTTAAAAAAAAAATCTAGCGTGTTATAGAAACAAAGCTCTACCGCGTTAGCCAGATATGAACAATGAATACGAACACGCTTTCCAAAATCAATTGTTTTTATGTGCATATCTGCACGGTAAGCGTGTCATGCCATTAGCGTGCGAGCGTGTTAGAACGTGCCGTATGCGTGCGTTCACCTTATTCCTTGAAAACCTGTGGAGGGTCACCTATAATGACCGGTTTCTTCCAGAGAAGAGAGGCGATCGATCACTGATGCTGTTTGATATATTAAAAAATTTCAATAGCAAGCTGGTAACGAAACGAAGACATCGTTACCTTTGAAAAACACATGTTTGGCTTTCTACTGTTCTTCTTGAAATGTCTCTATCCCAAAAGTCGTGCAAACTTACCTAAAATCCTCGTCTTAAATCGCTGTTGTCTGAAAAGTTGAACATGAAAGCATTCAGATCACTACCTTGCTCGTTAGTGATGAAAATAAATTATCTCATCTAGCCCATCAGAATTCACGAAAGAGTCGGCAAGAGGGGTTAACCAATAAATATTCATTATGCATTTCCCTGCGAAAGAGTGACGTCACAGAATACGATTAGTGTCAGGTTTTCGTAGACGTTATGTCTATCATTACATCTCTCTCCATCTATCTTTTTCTGAGTCTTTCAGATATGACAGAGATCTTTGTTGGATCTTATTCTTTTTTTGTTTTGTCTTCGTAACGGCGGGAAAGGCGAGTCCGGAGCGCAGAAAGTCAAAGAATCCCTTAGATCTTCGTCGGTCACCTCTTACCATCCGTAAGATATATACAGTATACACTGTACTCCAAATTCGAGAAACCGAAATTTACTTCATCCGAAACGTAGACGATTCCTTCCTTTCGCTTCTTACGAATACGCAGTTGAAACTGATCATTCTCGTTGTTTGTCCTCGTTCTTGTCAGTTCCACATTTTCTCCCCTCTATTGTTTTGTAGACATTTTCTTTCGTCTGATGGATCTTTGGTGTCTGTTGAGTGGTCTCCAACAATTCTAAAATAGCCATTTTTCCCTTCTCTGCTTTTTTAACCTTGTGCTTTTTTTCACTCTAATTGGCGGGGCATCTATCCTAAGCTATTTTCTATTATTTCTATTCGTCTCAGGACATTTCAGTCTACTTTTAAGAACCAAAATCCCTGGTTGAATTACTTCTGATTTCAATAGAAGTCCCACGATAACCATAACTGCATGACTTACCATAGAATCAAAATATGTGGCGAAATAATTATGCAAAGAATTCTCCCTGTTCCCGAAACGAGTTGAAACGTAATGGAGAACCCGTAATCATGGTCAACTTTTTGACCTACTGTAGTTGTTTAATAACTTTTTTTCCAAGCACTTATTCTTGTGGGAAGGTCAAATACCGTTGATACCGTTTCTCCCAAAATAATTTAGGCAATTGTCAATTGAGCTTCGTAAATAATCTAAGATCGCATTGGTTTTTCTTAACTTCACTCAGTGATTGGTCCAGAAAACTCGCGCTACCCTTTAAACCAATCAGATACAAAACGGATACCAGTCACGACTTGGTCATCCGCGTTTTTCCGTGCTTTGGGAATTTTTTTTGTATTACTGTTGAGTTCTTCTTAGCTCTCGAGGGTGCTTGAGGGTGATGAATGTTTGAACACTTTGGTTTTAGTTTAAACCGAAAAGCACTTTGCAGGAGGCTGTCATCGAGGAAACATGGGTTAAGACACTTACAATTACATACACGAATTATATCACTGGAGACAAAGCCTTAGGGGTTGATGATTGACCAGCCATTGAAGTAAATCTCTGAGACTTCGAGAGCTCCTAAAGACGATTCTCAAGAAGAACGACCTTCCAAAACGTTTTCTCAGTATTCTAAAGATTGATGTGGACAGCTAGCGTGGAATTCCATGGGGTAATTGAGGCAAGCGAAGGCTTGTTTGCAGTTAGCAACGTGCAAGCTCGTAATATTAACTGTTTTTAATTAAATAAAGTGTA